GGGTGAGTGAGAGCACGACGGAGAGAGGCGCGATATCGGCGATGCTCCCTCCGATGCGGTCAGAAAGTCATTTTGCAAGATTCCCTCTTCTCCTGTTAACTCATATGTCATGCATATGTCATGCATTTTTTCAAAAAAAAATGTTTTGTTTTTGTAATTTTTTTTACGTAGGAGAAATAATAACACTATTTTCCGCGGCGCTCCGGCGGCCGCCTCAACTTCTGTACGGACGTATATTTTTATACACTTTTATTTCATCGTCATTTCGTTTTTGTCCCACGTCCGTCAGCCAGGGCGGGCGGGCGGACTCGCCCAACTCGTCATGAGAATCAAATTGAGTCGGCGCGTGCCGTGCGGGGCGCGCGGTGGCCCGCCACGCCCCGCCCCGCCCTCCTCGGGGCTGCACGAGTTATCAATTCATCACTATAGGGTCGCGTCCGTAGGGGCGGGGCGGGGCCAGACCCTACTCGCTGCGGTGGTCGCGGTGCCCGTCATACACTCACGCTCTCTCGCTCACACCCCCGCGCGCGCGTTCTCCGCAGGTAGCCTGTTGAGCCCGCGCCCTCCACATCCTCCCCCCTGTGCTCCTCTCTCTCTCTCTCTCTCTCTCTCTCTCTGTGGGCGCGATTATGTGCCTCAATTAGTCGAAGCGCCCCACAGAGCGTTTAGGTTCCCATTGCCGCCCTGGGGGCAGCTCCCCCTTGTACCCGCAGTCAGGGCTGTTACATAAGTCACGGAGAGAAATCAGTGATAAGTTCAGGAATATCCCAGTCTGAGAAAATTCTGTGAACTTCCGAATATTTATTGGAAAAAACAAAAATAAATAATAACAATATCCTGGAAAATTTCCAGAAAATTTCCGGAAAAATAAGGAAAATATCCCAGCAGACCCCGGAAATTTTCGGAACTTTCCAACCCTACTTCATTTTTCTCCTCTAACATTTTTTTTTGTTTTTCTCGCTATTTTTCAGGATTGTGCGGAACAAGGCGGCCGAGAAGGCCAAGCACGTCCACAACCAGCAGCAGGCGGCGCAGCAGCAGGCCGCCAACAACAACAACACCACCACCGCCAACAACAACACCTCCAACTCGTCGAGCAGCGCGAGTCCCAACCCGGCGCCGAGCACGCCCGTGTCCGTGTCCGTCATCACGCACACGCCGCCCGCGCTCGCCGCCCACCCGGCGCTGCCGGCGCTGCCCGCCCTGCCCGACCACCAGCGCCCCGGGTCGTACTCCATCAACGGCATCCTGGGCATCCCGCACGCGCCCGACCCCAACGGCAACAGCATCAAGCGGCGGAGGCACGACGATCACGGTGAGTGAGGGTTGGAAACCCTGGAAAGTTTCTGAAAAATTCCAGGAAAATTTCTCAGACTTTGGAAGTTTTCCGTTATTTTCCAGAAATTTTCGGAAATTTTCCAAAAAAATTAGAAATTTTCAAACCTATGGATACTGTACTGGAAACGCAAGTTTGAGAATGTTGCACACTTTTGTAGGTGAGTGTGAATGCCCATGTCGAGTACAGGTGTGAATTACCGAATTTCCCTCGGAATTTCCCCTGTACAGACACACACTTTTGCCCTGGCGTTTACTTACCGCCTCCAAGTAGTGTGCGGCGATATTCACACACTTTCGTTTTCTACTACAAACTTGAAAACCAACAGTCGGGATACCATCTCTCAACGCGTTTCTTTGAGAAAACGCATACTTTTTGCGATTTTGTGTTGTTTCTAAAATCGAAGCGCACTTGAGGTGGGCCCACCTGGCGCCCCGCTCGCGCCGCTCGCTTCCGTCTTTGGTGTACACCGCTGTCTTGAACAAGGTGTCCCCCCTCGCCCCCGCCAGCACCGCGCCAAACACCCACCCCACCGCCGCGTATCCTCGAGAGTCTGGGCCGTTCGGGCGGGAAAGGGTGAGATTGACTCTGAGGAGGGAGGTAGAGCGAGCAGAGAGAGAGAGAGAGAGAGAGAGAGAGAGAGAGAGAGAGAGAAAGAGGGAGCGAGCGAAGAGAGGCGAGGGGTGGAGAAGGGAGGGGTCGGGGAGAGAGGGGGTGGGGTGCGCTCGCCCATTCTGCGAAGTCAGGCTCCGGAACGAAACTGCCGTCGACATCGTCTGCTCTCAGCCAGAGGCTCCCTCACAGCTCCGCACAGTCAGGCTGGCTAGTCGGGCTACACGGGCTACCCCCCCCCCCCCCACCTCCCTTTTCAGGCACATTTCGTTCAGTTCGAAACCGATCGTTGATCCATTTTTTTGCTGCTTTCCTCTCCGTATCCTCTGATTACGTTTTCTTCTTTCCGCATGTTTGTGGTTAGTAACCATACCAGCGCCCGCGCGAATAAAGTCTTTTTCGTCGTTTGACCTCGCATAGCCTTCCCTCCTGTGAGATGAGCGCCATATATTCCCGTTGCAAACTAAAAATGTTTTTAAAAAGTAACAATAAAACACAGCCAGACGCAGGCCATCACGCCATCCTCAAAGCTCAAGGCGACGCACCGCGAGTCTCTGAGCAAAACGGAGCCAAAGCGGAGCGGCGGGGCTGCAACATCGGGAGCGCGCCTTTTACACAAGTCGAGCGACGGCTGGTGCACCGCGGTGCCCTAGATAGGCCGCCCTCTCGATGATGCATTTACTGTGTGAGACGGAGCGGCAGGGGTTGCCGCCGCGTCCAGGAGGGAGGGGAAAGCCTTCCAGAGCCCCACAGGAGCAGGCGTCCATCCACAACAGCACCAGCCGCGGCCTCGCGCCCCCGCCGAGCTTGATAACGCGACCCGCAAGGCCTCTTTTCGCCGATACGGATTCTACACGGGGAGAAACCGAACAAAACGAGAAACGGAAAAAAAACGTTAACGCTAACGCTAACGTGAAAGCAGATGACTCTTGGCGATTGGCGTTGAACATTTTACTGTTAACGCGTGATCAAAATTTCATAACCTAAAAACGCATGATGCTTAAAGTTGGAACTTACGCCTAAGCGTTAATTGCTTATCAGGTGGTTGTGAAAGTGAACACTACGTACGTATACTTTAGACCTGTGTCGTAGTATCCTACGCTAGTCGCTAGTCGAATGGTTCATGTGCTGAAAATTGTCGATTGTAACTTTTAAAATGTTGTAAATTTGATTATTATGTGAACATTAATTGCAATAATTTTCTCCTTAAATTCTTATAATGAATTTTAATTTAATGCAATGATTATATATTTACATTATAATGAGACATTAATGTCATGGGGATGTTATTAAATGACCATGGAAATGTAATGACAACAGGCTCGAGCCACTATTTCGAAAATGTATTATTCATTTTTTTTTTACAAATCAGGTGAGCGCGCGTAAGCACCCACATACACACACACACACACACACACACACACGAACACACACACACACACAGCGGTCAGCGCTGCTCGCTTATGCCTGGAGTAGTTCTGCAAAAAATAATACGAATTAGGAGTTTACATGGCGTTGACGCATTAGTTTAGCACGTTTACGTACAAGAAATCATAAGTAGGCCTACCTCCAGTCACCATTGCTGCACGGAGACTTGCCGGCAAAATACTGCCGACCACTTCCGTTCGGGCATCATAAATTGCCGCAGCTTCCGCTCCTATAATAAAAACAAAAACATTGTTATTGACAAGTGTTGTTTGAAAGTTGGTACATTGCATTGACGGGGTTCAAATTGTTAAGGTGTTTACTTACCAAATGGCACGAGGCCATTGATCCGTTTTCCCTTTCCAAGCGCAGTAAAGTAGAACGGCGCTTTCCCGCCGCGCACTAGATCTCTTACTGAGGAGCATTGCTCCTCGGTAAGCATGACATCAGAGTACGTGAACAAGTACTCGCCCGTGGGCGAGTACATCAAGATCTTCATAGCGGGCCCTTTCGTAGTTTTTGTGATTTCGATTCCGTCCACTTTGTGGAGGCGCATGGCCTCCAGCGTGCCATTGGCACGGTAGACTGGGCGGGAAACTGCTGCGACCGCTGGCGCGTTGAAGGATTCAAAAAGGTCCATCTGTAACAGTGAACAAGTGACTTATTAGACAACTAGTCACTAGCCCCGCCCGCGCGCTCCATATTTTCCGCGTCACCCGGTCACAACGTCGAACGAAAAGCGCTCAGGGCTCGAACCCGGTCGTGACAGCGAGGCACAACCGCAACCCGGCATCGAACCGAGCACCGGGCCTGCTGCTGTTGCGGCCGGGGCGGGCTGCATGCTGCATCAGCTGAGCAACCTGTGACCCCCCCCCCCTCCTCCCCACACACACACACCACCCGCTCCCCGCCTGGCCCTACGCCAGTGCGGCGTTTTCGCCACCTTTCCCTTCCTCCTCCCGCCCGCCTGAAAATGTGCACAGTCGGTGCTCGAACCCGGCCACCGGCCATGCGAGGCACTGGACGGCCGCGCTACGGCATCGAACCGAGCACCGGGCCAGGCCAGGGTAGGGGTGCATCAGCTGAGCGACGTGTGCCCCCCCCCCCTCCCCGCAGCCTCCTTCAAG